CAATGACAAAAAGCTTCTGCTGCCCATAGTCTTTGACATTGCAAATCTCATAAAGAGTTCCACCCGCAAGTACATAAATCTGGGCTCCGACTTGGCCTCTGCTGCCCTTTTTGACACACGCATCAGTCGTCGAGGAGATGATTTGACTGCAGAGGAGTCCCAAAAAGATGACCAAGTGGGCACCATTGCCGTGAGTGTGGAGCCAAAGGAAGATCCGGCAGAGGAGGAGCAATCAGAATCCCTAGAGGATTTCTTTGATGAGATGGGAGCTGAGGTGCTCGATCCACAGATGATCAATGAGGCGCTAACGGGCGATCTTCATGGCAATGAAACCAAGTCCCCGAAACCGGAAAGTCATGGCCAAAGAGTTCGGCGATCGGCTAATGAGTTTGTCCACAAACTAACTCGGTCCGTGCCAGCTTCTGTGAGTGAGCAGCAACTTTTGGGTGGCATTGCTGGACGGACCATCAAACTGAATACCACGGCTTTTCAACAGCCAAGTAGCCAGGAGGAGGAAGAGGAGCAGTTGGCTTCCGCTAATGATGGCCAGTCGTCATATGCAGAGGTGGAGGATCTGGCTTTTGCCGGTCTTAATGGCACCGAAATCCCCCTGAGTGCCGATGAGAGATTGGATCTGCAACGAAACAGCGCCGAGGAGACAGAGGAACCTCTACCCAGTCCCGAGGAACTAATTGCCGGACCTCGTTATCGCCTGGGAAAGAGACCATTGCCGGGTCAAAAGTCGGGAGCTCCCATCAAACGGAAGAGGGTCTCATCTTCTGTGAGGGGAAGACCCAAGACAGCAGCCAGTTCCCACAAACCCGTGGTAGCACAAGCTCACAAGAAATGCGAACGATTCACCAGCAACATGTGCATCCGCACCGACGACTATCCGCTGTAAGATCCCCGTAGCTAGTTGGTGAGCGGTTCTCCCGGGGTACTGGTTCCGGTCCATAGTCCTTAGTCCTAGTTTAGTCTGAATTTTAGTCCTAATAAACAGTAATTTATTAAACTCACTTGCCCAACGTTCCCTTGCACTTATGCTTAGTTGATTGGTTTTGGTTAGAGTTGTTAAACGAAAAAGCAGTTGGAAACTGTATATATTATCTTGAAATCTCAGTGAACAGATCATGGGCAGCATAAGGCGCCACAAGAATGCCATGTCCGCCCTCTTGGCCGAGTTCTACGATAAGCCCAACAATAATCTGGAGTTTGGAGACGACTTCGATGACTTCAGCCTGAGCAAAAAGAGGTAAGTGGAAAGAGAAGGGAAATGGAAAAGGTTGTCTAGGCGACGAATATAAAAGCTTTTCTGAAACTCTAAAATCCGATTTAAAGAATTTATTGCTAGACCATAAAAGAGATACATTGGAAATTTTACAAGGCCTTTGATATCGGTTTTATTAGTCACATAAAGTATAGAAACGCTGGTAAAGTTAAGATAGCTTACACAACAGTCAAAATATTTCGTGTTTCCTTCATTCCAGTAAAAGTTAAAACAACACATTTAAGGTTTCACAATAAGGTGGGCAAATAAAATAAATTCAATATCAATATTTTCTTTCTGAATAAAATAAATAAAATTAAATTAATTTTATTTATTTATACCAAATACAAATGCTTAAATTCAGTATTCAGCTATAAAGCTTTCATGAAAATCAATTTAATAAAAAAGTGGCTCACTGAATAATTGGATTAACGAAAAGATTAATGTTATTATTAACTAAACTAAATAGTAATTTATTTTGATTTCCTTTACAGGCGTGAAGATGAAGGCAGTGCAGGTGGGATGTGCCAGAGCGTGGTGCGTTACGCCCGACCCCAGAAGGCGAAATCCGCTTCGGGAGAGTGGAAATACATAGTGAACACTGGTCAGCACACGCAAACCTTGCGACTGGAAAAGTGCAGGTGGGTGTTAATGGGTTTTCACTTCAGGAAATTGCAATATTAACTTGTAATCTTTGCATCCCCAGCAATCCCGGCGAGAGCTGTTCCTATCTGGCGCAGACTTATCGCTCCCACTGCTCACAGGTGTACAACTACCACCGACTGCTGAGTTGGGACAAAGTTCGTGGTCTTCATGTGGATATTTTCAAGGTGCCCACCTGTTGCTCCTGTCAGGTGGATGGCTATCGGCAACAGTTCCCACCGCTCTCCTCCATCCAGGCCAAGGATTACTCTCCGTTGGCCAACACCCATGCGAATCACAATGGTTATAGCACCATCAACGAAGAGGATCTGGACTATGCGGATGAGAGCGAGGAGGACGAACTGGGTCTGCGGTATCCTTCATTTAACAATCGAGAGACCAATGAGCTGTACTCCAGCAGCAACAAGGTGCGAGTGAAGCTGCCTGGTGTAAGCACCAGTGTGGGTCCCTATCTCAGTCCCCCAGATGATGACGAGGATCGCTATAGCAGCTATAAGAGCTCCAGTTCCGGAGCAGGATCAGGATCCAAGAAGTATTACAGCCAGGTGGGCCGCAGGCGGCCCCAGCAGCACTCAGAGGCTCGTCTGGACTTGGATTTGGCGCCGAGCGAGACGCATGCTGACCAAGAGGTAAACCTATTTGCTGGCCCACCAAACGGCGGTGCAGAGAAGCCGCGTGTACCGCTCAATCGCAAGCGTATTTATGCCTCCACCCACACAGCCCCCACCACCGCAACATCATCAGCATCATCAGCAGTATCATCCTCAGTACTACCATCAGCCGCAGGAGAAGCTGCCGTCCGCCTACGATTTCCACAGACCACAAGTCTACCAGCCCGAACGGGAACAGCTGCCCTTAGCCCGGGATTCGTCGCCAGTTCCGGCCAGTCAGTCGGTGGTGGCATCTTCAGCGGTGCCTCTTCCTATGCCGCCCATGCCCATCAAGCAGGTGCCAACGCAGTTGCACCACCAACATATGCACCACCCACAGCTGCACCACCAGGCGGCCGGCAGCAAGTTGCCAGCAAATCGCGACCCCGCTTCTATGCACCACCAGCCAGCACCACCACGACGAGCTACTCAATGGTTGCCGGCGGCCCAGCGGCGTCACTTTCGACCGAGCACACCACTCAGTCGACGGCACAACCACAACCGCCGGCCGTCTATCCAGTGAGCCCGATCTTTCCCAGCGGCGGGGCCAACGAGATGTCAGGCAAGAGGATCAACTACAATTACCATCCCATCATCGATTTCTTCGAGAAGGATCGCAGGGCTGATGCGGCGGCTACAGTTAATCCCCCGGTGGCAGAAGAATCGAGGATAGTGGAGCAGCGCATATATCCTCAGAATAGTCCAAAATCTCAAAATGGCATGGGCATGGGCATGGAGAGCATCGCTGGAGTGTACCAACATCCCATTCCGGTGCCCAAAACTCACGAGCGGCGGATGGGTTTCAGGGCGAATAACGGTGGTGTGGGTGGTGCAGGTGCTGTGGGTGGTGGTGCTGGTGGTTTCGCCAACGATAACGCCTGGCTGCCCATGGTTGTGGAGTAGCTTTAGTCGCATGAGTCCATCAAAGTCCTCCAAGTCCTCCAAAAACCCGAAAAATCTAACGTATTAACGCTATAGCCTCTGCCGTTCTCGCCGGGAGCCTAACATTGTAGTTTGTCCAGCTGGCTCCTAATCTCAACCCCAACCCACTCTAATTTATAACCAACTATGTTTATTTATTTATTTATTTTGTAGTGTGTAGTGCAAAAAATAAGATATGTCCTCGTTGTTGGGGAGGTTCAATTGGTCGAAAGCTTGGTTGAATATTCGCAAGAGTTTTAGCAATAAACATAATTTATTGAAATCTTAAAATGTGTTTTTAGTCAAGTTTTTGGACTGTGTGCCTTTACATTTTGCACTCACTGTGCTGCTGTTAACATTTAAGCCACTGTTATTGGTTTCGAATGAAATAACTTGTGTCATCTTTTAGGCGCCTGTAAAAATGTTAAAATGCGCATGCGCAACAGCTTTACTATTAAAAGAGCCGTTTAATTTTATTGGTAATAAAAACTTGCAATAAATAAATGTATTCAAGTACACAGTATTTAAATGATGTCTTAAAAACTTAATGCCAACGTTAATACAGTACTTAAATAGGGTGCTAAAAATAGTGACTACCAAAAAATTTGCGGCTTAATTTAAATCTAGGCTTGAGAATTTTATTACGAATCTCTTTTTAGCGTTCTTTATTTTATCATTTTTTTTGACCAGCAAAAAAAAGTTCAAGAATTTTATTCCCTTTACAAGAAAACAAAGAAAACATTTTGTTTGTAACACAAAAACCAGCTCATGAATATATGTATTATTCCTTTTAAATATTCCCACCGCAGCATACAAATATTGTCTATAAATCATGCCCATCTAAAGACCCCATTAATCCCCAAATATTTAAAGCAACCAAATTAAATGACCAGTGCATAAATTATTTCACCGTTCGTTTTGCCTTTCGCCCAAATGACACAAATACAAAATTTCAGTGGCTTTCGGCGAAGTTCAAGGTCAAGTGGCGGGGCGCTAATGAGATACGAGACCGCGAAAATAAAAACACTTACCCACACGATCGAAAACTGAATTCCAACTAGAAACTAGTTTCTGCAGCCTAGCCACAGAGCCAGAAAGTTGCAATGTGCCAAACCACCGCAGTGGTGCGCGTATGCAAAGTGGGTTTCTAAAGCGAAACGGGGCTTAAACTTCGACTTTGACCAGTTATAACACTGGACGTTGAACGTTGCAGCCTGCAACGTCACTTCGGCGGGCCAGTTTCGCTTTCATTTGCTACCGAAGCTAACAAACGACCGATGACGACGACGATGACGATTGCAAAGACATCCATCTCGTCACGAAAGATAGAAAGAAAGAAAGAAAGGCTGGCGATCAAACTGGAAAATTGGAAAAACGGCGAGGAAATTTTATAAAGGCCCAATGATAGCACACTTGCTGCACAGTTGTCTGTTGGCCGTCGAACGCGAAAGTGAAAAGTGGCATTTCCCCGATCTTGGGATAGTGAGAGTAAAAGTGCAATGGCAAGGCTGAGGATATTTTACCTGCTCCTCTTTTATTCCCAACTAAGTCAGGGGATCAAAGTGGATAGCCCCGGAAAGGAAGGAGTTTCGAGCAGTACCACAACTCCTCCTGTTTATAGGGTATCTAAACCCGAACCCAAGCAGCATGAGAACAGAGTTCCTCCCCATCTGCAGGACATAAGACCTGGCTATGTGGACGATGATGCGGGGGATGTGATCAGGATTATTGAGCCTCCTCAGCATTTTCAGCAGCTGAAGCGACTGCGGCAGAGGCAACCCTCCAATCCTCCTGTGGTCTGGGAGCAGCCTAGAAAACTGGCCACCAATAGGGTTAAGATTATACCTCAAGGAGACCTGCTTACCCAGGAAACGCAGCTACAAGGCGGCCCCAATCAGCTGCAAATACCCATGGAAATCCTGGCCTCTGTAAGAAAAACAGAGCGTTTATTGCAAAGACAGAGGCAAAAGTTACCTTTAGTAAGACAACGTCATATCCAGAGGAAAAGTCATACCTTAATAGCCCAAAAAACCCTCGAACAGCAGATCTACCATCGTGGCCAACAGCAAAGGCTAAGAGCAGTTTTGAGTCGCAATCAAGAGCACAAGAGGAGTAAGAGAAATAGGAGGAGTGTCTTAGAGGAAAAAAAAGAACCATACGATGTGCAAAAGGGTCTGAAATTGGTGGCCCACATAGGAGATCTTTTAAAAAATGCCACGCAGTATTTACCCGACGACGAGGTCACCAACGAGGTGAAGAGGTCACCTGCAATCACCTGCGGCAATGCAACCAACTGCGATGCCAATCGGCGACGTCGCCAAAGACTTTTTAAGCAGCAAGCCAAGTCAGCAGAGCGGGAAAAATTAAAGGAGAGGCGGCGGTTCAACTTCCGGAACGAGGCAGCCACGACAATAACAACTACTGGCAAATCGGTGTTTTCAAGTGCCAATTCGGTGGCGGAAACTTCCGCAACTCCGCTGGCCAGTCGCCTGGTGAATTCACGCAAATCCAAATCGCCAAATAACAACCGCAACTTGGGCCGTCGCGATGACTCCATACTCTATGCGGATGTTATGACGAATATACGCAATTTGTGGCAGGAGCATGATCTTTCAGCGGGTCCAAAGTTTGTTGCACCTGGCGAGGTGGCCAACAACACGGATTATCGCGCCTTGGATGTGTATCTCAAGGAGCTGGATGATCTGGCCAAAAAGTTACCCACAGCGGTTCCCATTACAGGTTTGAATAAAGAGGAACTGCAGAGGCCCACGCCCACTCCCAGTTGGTATCTCATCAATTCGGAGGGAGGAATCTTCGAGACCCGCCTGGATAGTCAAACCAAACCCTCCTCATCGTTATTCCATCGATTCCCCGACATGCCCAACCAAAATCAGAGTGTGTCCACATTGGACCTGGAGTAAAGCGTGGTTCTTGAGTGTTTAACTAGTTGTTATTTATTTATTTACAAAGAATAAAGTATTATTAATGAAAGAGAATATTAAAAAAAACTTATTTAATGGAAAAATGTTTGTTTAAATATGTAACTAATCATTTTCAAAATCTAGTCTTGCCTTGTTATTGATTTTGACTTGCGTGTTTTTAAGGTAAGCTAGTAGAATATAATTTAATTATTTTTTAATAATTAACCGTGAAACCCTAGAACCCTTTACCTCACCTCTTTCAATGCTAAATCTCCGTGGATTCTTGCTGGCCAACCAAGCATTTAGCCCGGCTAATTACAACGGCTCCCAACTCAAGTCACAAGTTCTTGGCTAATGCGGCAATTTAGATAAGCCCAAACTGGCAATTAGCCCCGAGCTTGAGCCCGGGCTGCCAAACGTGCGAAACGCATTGTCCAAATCCCTGACCCCGCCAAACATGCAAAGTTGTGAGAAGATTTTCGGGGCAATTAGCAGGGTCTTCGGGTGGCTCAGATGAAGCGGAAGAAAATCAACCTGACCTCACTGTATTACAGGGGAAACAGATCTCTCGGATGAGACTAGTTTTCGGATTCTTGGCTAGTTTTTAATGGGGATCCCATCTCTATTCTTGGAACATTTTCATTTCCACATTCGTTTTTTTTTGGCTACTAAACCTAGTCTAGCGTATTTGGGCGGCGTTTTTTTTTATGGGATTAGAATGTTGTTCAGCCACTTTGACAAAGAGTTTTTAATTTATAGAGCTTGTGTTGGGTTTTTATGATTATTATTTCGTGTGTTGGCGGGGTGAGAGATAAATTAGAGTGGAACGTTTGGTAGGGTAGAGAAATCGGTGCGTATTATGTAACCAAATTAATTCCTGGCCTTTAGGGAAAAGAAGACGGGGCACTGCCCATTGCGACATTGACCCCACTGATCACAGTGGGCGGAGTGGGCTGTGGGTGGCAAGAGAAAAACAAGCAAACAAACATATAAGTTGGCCCAAAGCATTGTAATTAGTAGTCGGTCATGCAAGAAATAGAAGCCTGCCCCGAAAGCCCCCCTCTTGGCCAATTCATTGATGTTTGGCGGGGTTTTCTTTGGATTGTTAGAAGCACACGCAGCTGGAGTCGCCCAAATTGGAGGGGGAAAACCGTTTTTCGCTTAGACAATTGTTTTGTCGCTGCGCATTGATGGCAATGCAAGAATCGCCTTTTGGCCATTATAAAAGCCCACTGCACGCTCCCAGCGTCAGTCAGTCATTTGCTGTAAGCCCCGAGTGGCATTTCCATTTGCACCGTTTGTTGTAAATCCGCTGTAAAACCCACCAAGATGTTCCAAGCCAAATCCGTTTGCCTCCTGCTCGCCCTCTGCCTTTTGGCCATGTTCTTGGCCGGATGCGAGGCACGCCCACAGGAGGGTCGGGAGGAGGGCGGCGACCAGGAGGTGAATGTGGAGGCCGAGGAGAAGGATCTCGAGGGAGCCGCTTCATTTGGATACGGATACTACTCATCGCCCTACCTGGGCGGCTACTACGGTGGATATTGGCCGCATTACAGCGGCAGTTACTATGGAATTGGTAAGAGATTGAGATAATAAGAGGAAGGATAACTTAAAGTCAGCTGGATTAATAAATTGTATAGGAAAAAGGTTTCAAAGGGAAATTATCCAATATATATTTTAGAAATACTGTTCAAATATTCCACTTAAATTCTTATTATGTTGAAGAATTTAGTAAACCTATATACATTTCCTCAAAACCAATTGTGTTATGTTGATGTTACCATTCAAAATTTAAATATATTTTTGACTGGGATCCCATGGAACTAGTTCTTAAAGATCTCATACAATATTTCTCAAATCCACCCGCAGGTTATCCTTACTACGGAGGCTATGGAGGATACTACGGACACCATCACCACGGACACTATGGACACTACTTCTAGGAAGGATTCTTCAGCCCTCTCTTACAAATAACAATAGTTTCAGCCTCAGTAGAACTTTATCAGCACCAGACGTCTACCAGCACTAGCTCGAATAGAAGAAATTAAGTAGAGATTTAGAAGTCGAAAAAAATTAGCATTAATAGCCAGCACTAGCCTCAATAGCCAGACGATGCGTTCTTGACCGGATGGCGAACAGATTAACTGCACTGCCCCATTGCGCGAGGATAATTGCTTCAATTAAGCAGAAAATCACAAAGAAAAGAGTACAACCAACTAAATATTACATAAATAAATGTTATACTTTGTACAAATTAATGCCTGCGTGTTTGATGGCTACTGTTGATTGTTTTAGTTTTACTCTCAGCTCTCTGGGTGCTCGTTATTTTATGCCATCGTTAAAAAAGACATGAAGCGCCCCAGCTAATTAGCAATTCAAATGGAGCCAAAAAAGCATCGGCTTTATATCGCTGGCCTAATCTAATTAATAGGAGATTTTTTTTATTTCAGAATTAAATTATCTGTACAAATTGCCATAAATGGTTGGCAATAAACCACCAATAAGCTGTAGAAAAGTACGAGTCTGTCTGGGTTATTTGACTTCTGTTGAGCCACACTGCGTATGCGTAATTTATAAGTGGAATGCCATAAATCGCCCAAGAAGAGCGGGCATTGTGTAAGTTAAATGTCTCAGATCAGATTCTCGAAATAAAACCGCTAAGACTATTTGTCTTGATCGGATTTTGACAGGCAACAATCGGATATTGGAAGTCAGACTTCAAGTCTAAAAGGTCACGGAAGTGACGGACAATGGACATCGATGATTAACGGCCGGCAGACGGCGGCGATGGTGCGACAATAATCGTTCGACTTCACAGAGGAACCTTTGCATAAATTTCAATTCTCCGATATAAGGTTATTCGGTAGCCGAGAAACGAAATTCTCCACTTGACCTCTGCTTTGACACTTTTCTTTTTGGCTTACAAATGTCAAAATCAAGAAAGTTTCATCGCTCATCGATTCCTATTCATATTTTGATGGCCAGCTATATCTTTGCACAATAATAGCGTTAAATTGGCTATTAAAAGATCGTTCAGCATTTCATTGTTGGTCTGAAGCGTGACTAAGCTCAAATATAACTTAAATATGATTATTATTTATTCATCAATCTGAAATGACTCACTTAAAATCTTGATATCGTCAAAAAATCTTTGCCAAAATAGATACAAAACTTGTTTTAATTAGAGTTGGGAGACTTTTGTCTGGTCGGCTTGCCTTTGTGGCTAAATAAATTAAGTCAGCTGACGCTAACACGGACATTCATTGCACTTTCTCACAGTCCCTGAGTTTTGCCATTTGGTTTCTCTAGATCATTTAGTTTTCTCGGCTCATAAATCACTTAGCCATAAACCAAAAAATATCGAACTGATGATTTGGTTAATTGTTTGTTTGTTTTAGTTGATTTTACCCAAAGCACTTTGCGTTTCGTTGACGTTTTTTCCACTATTTATAACTTTCATTAGTTCATTTAAATCGATGATATTGAAATTCATTGAAAATCGTGGCCCCATTGTTGAGCGGAAAACCATTCGAGTGATATCTTTGTTATTTTTTTTCAGCTGACTTATTGTATCTTGTGTGGTATTTCATTTGGGCAACGGACACTTGTGTTCAAGTGCACTAGTTGAGAAAAATAGAGCATAGTGGTCCGAGTTAAATAAACCTTGAGAAAATTTCATAAGATTAGGTAAGATATTAAAATTAAGATGATTCACAGAAATCCTGATATGAATCACATTTGCTGACCGATATAGTTTGAATTTAAAATTCAATAACTTGTTCTTTAATTTGCAGATCTTTGGAATTCCCGCTTTTTTTTAATTTACATGATTGAAACCTGCTTGCCCCACTGTGCATAGCGATCTAGTAATTTGATTTGTATCCGAGTATTTGCTTGTTTACCCATGCGTGGGTCGCTTTATATCTCAATTAGATGCTAAGACGATCATCATTAGCGGACCCTGTGGCGACTGCATTCAAAATGCAGCCAGCACTTGATGCGATAATAATTTCAGTACAGTAAATTATCAATCTATATGCCGATGGCATTAATTCCCCTTACCCGTCAGCGCGTACGGCTTAAAGGTGTCGCAATCTGGCCTCAGCTGCAGCAGTCGCAGCTTGAGAAGTTCCTGCTGCGACAGGTTCGTGTCTTAAGTCTTTCGTCTTTCGTGGAATTAACATGTCAAGCACGTATTGTATTATTTCAGGTTGAACAACAATCCCTATCCGCAATGTTGTGGCAGTCGATTCTTCCTTGCCACCAAGGTCGCTGCGGCTTAAACGCACTTGAACCCTTGGAAATAATACACTGAAAAAATATTTTTAATTTTTTGAAAAGTTATAGAACTTTTTTTTTTAATCTGCTACTAAATAAATTTTTGTTATATATTACAAGTTTAAATATTTATCAGATATTTTTGTCATAATTTAAAAGAAGTATAGATTCCGATAGATAGATATCACTTATGGAATTTTCTCTGCACTGGCATCCTGGATTCGGCCCTCAAAATTGGCCATTGAACTTGCGGCAAACTTGTTTTCCCCCAGCTTCTTATCGTTTCTGTGGCAGCTGCTGGCGTGGCTTTTGTGGTTAAGAGTCGAGGCAACTTGGCCGGATTGTAATGGTAAACACTTTGCATACCAAAGGCATTAAAGTCTTTCGGCTTTGACCTTGCCCAGTCCGATCTTCGCGTAGGTGAATAGAGCACAGCAGGGTGTTTCTTAATGTGTGTGGCATGCTCGACTTGGCATGAGGCAAGGGCGATCAATTGTGGCAGACCGACGCACCGAAAAGCCCGCTCCAAATGCAACCGACCAGAAACGAGACCGAATGAAGAGAATATCTAGGCTTTGGCGACTGCTCGTTATTTAATTTCCAGTCAAGCTCTTTAATTAGCTGTTAACTTCCGCAACATTTGCGCCAAAGAACGCTTGTCTTGTTTTGCCAAAAAAATAAAGAAAAAAACTGAAACAAGCAACTCCCATCCAAGTATTTATTCATTGTGGGTGCGTTCAACGGCTGAAAGTGATTTATGAATGCCTGCTGAGCCATAAATATTTATGGCAATTGTTTCGCTTCGATTTGCTAAGCCATTTTAGGCTTTAATTAAAGTGCTTAGTACTGGGAACTAGTCTACAAACTCCCTTGTCGGAAACTCGGTTCTCAGCCCAAAAACTAAATCAAAAGTTTCCATTAGCCAAGTTTAGAAGACGGCAAGGGCTGACAGGAAGTTCTCATCTCCAATTCTCGGTTCTAGCCATGAATTATGACCAAGTTTGACAAAGAGGCAACGAAGCGTTTTAGAAAGGCGAAATCCTGTGCCACTAAGGTCACATTCTGGTCCGATCTAGAGAGCCAGAACCCGTTCCCCAGTCACTTCCTCCTTTGTAACAGGATCAGCTTGGGATTCCATGTGCTGGCCATTAAGCGGGTATTCTGGTTCTCAGCCGTCGGATGCCTCGGCGACCTTGAGACGAGAGTGCAAAAAATCTGTTCAGATGTTCGTCGCCGTTGCTCTGAGCCCCGATCTCTGTGTAGGTTGCAATTAAGCTGAACTTGTTATGGTCCCCGGTTTCACTTCGGTTGCTCACCGACGTTGGCTTTATGACCGAAAAAAAAGTGCTTAATGAAAACGAAGCGACATCCATTTCGGAAAGGCAGTGCCTCCCCAACTGCCCCCACTTTCAGCTAATCGCTCCGAAAGTTGTTATAAATTTGTCACTTAAATTCATTACAACGATTGGATCCATTGTCACCCGCGTAATTAGATATTGATGAATGGGCCTTTGTGGGTGGTTCACAGTATCGGGTGGAGTATATGTGCTTTTATGGGAAAGTGGTGACGAATAATAATATTTTAGTAAATTCGGATTTTTTTACAAAAATATATAATATCACGCTTAGTTTTAGTATATAAAAATAATCTCTTTGCTTTTGATTTCATTGAGGAAATATATACGCTTCTTATATCTGGTAATGCATTTTTGTGATTTTGAAAATCACGACTTAATTAAATGAAACCTGTAAATTTATTTTTGACCTCTTATTGCGTAATTAAGTGCTTAAAAATATTTAAAAATATATACTACTTGTCAAACACACTTTTTTTAAACATGCATTTACGTTTAAAAAAGTGGAGGTTATACCCTTGTAATAAACTCGCACTTTTAATCTATTATTAAATTTAATATCATTATTTTTAAAGGGTAACAAAATATGTACCTACTGAAAGTTCCATCTTACATTAGTCATCCGTGATTCTTAATTTATTCTCGAATAATTTGTAGCAGTTCAATTTATACAAGTAGTAAACGTTATGTATTTTAAGACACACATTTTTTGAACCTTTAAAATTAATCTAACTTTAATTCCATTAGCTCGTGTTTGTGTCATTTACCTTTTGATTTTTATTTATAACCAACCCCATCACCTAAATTAAAGAGTATGACAGACTGCGCCTTCTCGAGTTTTACTTTCATTTGTCATATTTGATTGTTTATTTATTTGTGAATATATTGTATCAGTTCGATTTGTACAAGTGCTAAAGCACCCCGAGGTTTAATGAACTGATGGCGGATTTGTTTTTGGTGAAAACCATTGAGGCTGAATCACCTGCTGATTATTATTGTTGGTTGTTGGTTTTATGAGCGTTTACCTTGCGGTTGTCGGTGGCGAATCATTTGTATGCCATGGGCGAAATTGTCCCAGCGAAATGCATAAAAACTTCAGGTGGCATATATTATTTATGGACTGGGTCCCGAGAATTTTAACCAGGTTCTAGTCACATCCTAGTTGCAGTAATAATCCCTGTTGATTTATTGTCCGACTTCCAAACTCTAGAGATCTAGAATGTGTGCAATCAAAAGATTAGCATTCCTAAGTCGCTTTTGTGCGGATGCTAAATAGTTTCTAGAAGCTTTCAGTTTTAGTGCTAAGCCGCTTTAGGCGAATAGAATTTCCAGTTAGCCACGCAAATAGAACTTCGGCGGAAACTCGACTCATCGGTGGCAGCCGTCGATCATCTCTGATCTAGCTCTCTGGTTTTAATTATCAGCGGGCAATAAACGATTTCAGTTCAAGTTGTTTATGGCATTTCATTATGTTTCATAGTTTTGAAAGTTGAAATACTTGAGTCGAATCAATTGGTTGATGTATGGCTGTACAACGCATCTTGTACGGGTATCTTCCGGTTTTCGTTCGATTTATGATTATTATTAATAATTGAATTTCTACTTGTTCGACGAGCCGTGAACATAGACCAGCATCTTTTTGAGGCTTTGTTTGGCTTACAGGGTTTCGTTTGGGTATTAGAGCTTAATTTAATGGAATCAACAATGGAAACCGTTGTTTGATAGATTGTCTAATTTGTCAGCCAAAAGATTAGTACAAAAATCAACATTAATAAGCCATTAAAGACGGCTCGAACAAGGTTTTGACCCCACTGCTCCTCTCGATCGCAAAAGGGTGCAGTTCCGCTTGATTGATGAAATAAAATCAAAGTTATCCGATCGATTTTCACACTTTTGGCAAGCTCCACTTCTACTTCCACTCCGCTGGGGTTCTTTTCGCCGTCATTCAAGCTAACTGCCAACTAAGGTCATTCAACAGCCCAAATAAAAGCAAATCAAAACAGCTTCAAGTTTGGATTTTGGGAGTTCCTTTTGCACTCCGATCGATATAAAATCAATCAAGGTCATCGCATCTCAACTCACTTCAAACGGTAGCAAAACTGCAAGGCGATATGTTTTAAATAGTTCGGCACGCTCGCGAACAGTTTTCGGAAGTCATGAAAAGGTTTTCTTGTTAGGAGTCGTGAACAGAAGTCAGTCTTATTTATGATTAGGCATTTTTAAAATTATTTCTATAATGTAGACCCATCTTATAAACTTTTAAGTTGATACTACTTGTTTCACATTAAAATGTAAGGTCATTTAAGATGTATCACATTTTTAAATTAGTAAACATAATATTTTATTGGAAGTGAACAATGTACATTTACACCTTTTATTTCTATCTAAAACGTTCATTAAAGTTCTTTGCTTAAAAAGTACATATCATTAACATTTTTCTTGTTGCTTATCTGCTTAGAATAATTTTTAAAGTTATCTAACCTTTCATTTTCACTGATTTTTAGTTCATTTAAGAACAATGATTTCGTTCCAAGATTTCTTAACTTACCTTTAATATTTTCTTATGCCAACCTTTTAATTTAGTTTTTCCAAGTGTTCAAGGTCGTTGAGTTGCTATTTTTGGCGCATAATGATGACAATTTGTAAGCCAATTTGGGGGCTTCTTCTGCAGTTCATGGAGCCACGGCCTAGACAAATATTTTGAAGCCAGGGGGAGGAGCTCTAAGATCAATTAGCACCCCGAAGACTAGCTAATTGTGGGCACGCACGAAGATCGAGCTCCATTTCCGATCACCCTACAGGTGGTCTGGTCTGGAGACCCGACCCGCCTCACCTGGAATTAATCGGCGGTACGATATGGCTGCACTGCGCATGCGTGGCGGCAGCCGAGCGATTCGGTCGGCCCTCTTCGGCAGCGGAGTCTTATAAATACGCCGGGCGTCGGCGCAGTTTTTGTTATTTGAACTTCAAATTTGCTCGAGATCGCTTCGTCTCGCGCACTCGGCCGCTAGAGAAACGCGCGCGTTTTCTTAGCGTTTTCTTACAAAAAAAATAACAGCCGCCTTTACCGCGGCAATTTTGTGTGCTTTACAAGTGGGTAGCTGTTTGCCATAAACAGAGTGACTTCTATATAGAACTTTTTGGATGTAAATAAGTGGTGCTCGTAAATATATATATTTTAGGTGCTGACGCAAGTTGATCCCCATTCGGTGCTGTTTTCGATTCCATAAACGCGTGTTGCATCACGACTCGAGAATGAAGATGATGGTGAGTGTGCGATGGTGTTGCAGTGCGAAACGAGTGCACCGAAATGTGCGAACAATCAGGCCATAATCGTAACATTGTGGCGGCTTAGAATCCGAATCCCAGAAATATTCACACTTTTTTGAGGTGCAGTTGCACGATGCACGTTGCAGTTTTGCCGATGCAGCTTTTGCAGCCTGAGCCGCAGCTCGGCAGTTGGCCTGCTGGCATCCCATGAGTTGTCTGTCAAACAAAATTGCCCAACGCCAAAGAGTTTCTAAAAAGCGACAGCGACGAAAAACAAACAAACTAACAGAAACAAAAACAGATACTACTCCGCGTTGCGAGTGGAGGAGTCGCATGGTAAATTTGCATAAATGGCGCTACAATTGAGGAAAATCGGTACAAGTACAAATAAAATAACAGAAAACAGCTGGCAGCAGTCATCAGTCAGAGGCAAAGTCGGCGACATACACGGAAAGAATAGGATCATTATCAGGAAGATACTATATAATTGAATTGCCCAGACAATTGCAATTTGTCCTTGTCTGATTTATCGTGTCCAACAATTTTATTTTAGATGTCGAATTTTGAAGAGAACCATTAAAAAGAATTCTTAAATTATTTCTGATTTGACATTTATCCCTGTTCCGCTTTTTGATAATCCCCATTTCAAATGAAAAATGATCAATTATCACGTCAAACGATTTATCTATCTTTTTTGTATGCAGAGCATTTGAGTTCAGCTTATTTTTTTTGCGGACATTCAGCAAGTCACAACTGGGATAATTGATTATTTGTTTTATGAATTTATTTTTAAATTCAAACTGTGTCAGATTTAGTTATTTAATTTCAATTCCATTAATTTAATCCCCTTTTTTTTCTTATTCCAATCAATCCGACAAGTCCTTAATTTTTATATTACCTATTTAGCTACGGCTGTTGATATAGTATAGTGTGTTCAAACCTTTCGAAATTATATTCATATTTTATTTATTTTATAATTCCATGCTGCCCCATTACACATTTTACATTTTAAGATGACACTCTTTAATATAATTAAATGATGGGCGATTTGGGAACTCTAAATTTCTCTCTGTGGAGACCTGCGGCAATGGTAACTGCATTGGGTGATTCCGCCGGCTGTAAAACCGAGTCCGCTGCCAATGACTGAGTCACTCGAGGGCGACTCCGGAGTTGCGACCGGAAGTGCTCATAACCGACCGCTCCACCCAGAGCTTCGCTGCTCTTCACGCATGCGCGTGTTCTTGGCCATTTCAAGAGCGGCTAAACGGGCCACAAGATTTGGCAATAAGCTGTTGTCGGTCGCTTGGGGCTGCTCAATGGGCTTCAGTGAGTCAATGGGTGCCCAGAACCAGTGTTAGGCAACTATAATTAACGCCAAGCGACGAGCGCCAAACTGATTTCCCCCAAGGTCGTCACACTACATATAAATAGATGTGCTGGCTCTGGTTTTTTCTATTTTTATGAGATTTCACACGCCTCAATTGTGACAATTAACGCCCCCCGTTTCGCGCCATTTGTCGCCCAAATTGTCTATGGTTTTGGCTTTTTTCGTATCTTTGTTTGAAACAAGAGCCAAGGAAAATGACTCGACATGATCAGCAGGGTAGATTCAAATTCGGATTCTGTTGAAAAAGTTCCCGAGGCGGGCGCACCTCGAGCGGTAGACCTCACCCACTTTACACACTCTTCAAACCACACAGAGAATTATGCCACTCGAGATGACGTCGCAAGTTCGGACAGGTATTTTGTAATGGGTGCTTTAATTACGAGCTTGTAGATTTGTGTGGTGAAACATTCAATTAAGGTCAGCGGGAAAACGGATGTGTATCAGAGCCATGCTTAACCAAATAACAAGAAGACTCATTTCGGATATCATTACCATCTTGGGCGTATTCTAAATAGATATTAACAAAAAGAATCCGACTACGCCCCAACAATCGCGAGTATTATTCATGTTATGCGACACCTGCGTGCGTCACTGCCATAAAAAAGATTTCAACACGAAACTTAATTGGGTTCTGACTTTAATGGACATACACACATCAACGCGGGTTGTCAACTAATAACGCAACCGAGACCCAAATTATACGCAGCTAGAACTAGTTTCCTGAGGTGGCTGTGAATCTTGCCACAAGTTGTAAGAAGATTGGCAAATCCGCTAGAATTTAAGGCCCGACAGCTGACAAGCAGATCGAGTATCTCACGAGTGGCATTTTCCATAATAATTTATCAAAAAAAGACTCTCTGCCATGTTGAACAAAAAAAAGAATCATAAGTCCATAGAAACATAAGAACATTGCGTGGGATGCTTTAAACTATTTCCATTTGATTGAGATGAACTCGCTATTTGGCTTGCCTTTTGTTCCATTTTTTATATAATTTTTGTTTTTTGTTGCTATTGTCTCGATTCAATTAAGGTTTTATTTTAATGGCCAGTCTTTAACGACTTTTCTGACTTGAAGCGCACTCGTAGAAGCCGTTTAAGTTTATTTTTAGTTTTATTTTACCCAAAATTTATGTGTTTCAATTTGATAAATGAAATTCCGGGTTCCAAAGATTGTTTTTTGCCAAGAGATAAAGGTTTCTCTCTCTTAGTCTGTTATCTATGGCTTAATTAGTGCTCGGCAAATTGCTGGTTTTGTATTTACATAAATCCAAGCGAGTGGAGGGATTTCCATCTAATTTGATTTTAGCATCTCCTCGGGTTTATCGAACCGGTCGGCGTGACTTTGCCATCAAACGGTAGGCAGTGCTTTTAGCTAAGCCATGAGGCCATTCACACTTGTCTGGTATTTAGAACACTTCTAGGCGGTCCAGATTGGATTCCAAGCGAATCTCAGTTCGATAAACCGTTCAATGTCAAGTGGCAGATGCGCTGACCTTGACTCTGAGTGTTGCCCGTGGCTGCTGCCAGTTAATAAATATAAACTATTTGTTAATGCAACCACATACGGGTTTCAGGCTCCACCTTTGCCAATAATCAATCAACTCGCGGGCAATTAGCGCACAAAAATGCGTTTAATTTGGCTTTCGACTTGTTAATCATTAATGTGCGTTGCGTAGAGAGCCTTCGATGAATGCGACCCAATTGGACTATGCCGAATTCTTTACCAAAATCGATGGTGTCAAAAGCTGACACAGCCATTAGCCAAATTTTCGCGCCTTAATTGTATGCGGAAATTTTCGATGACATGGCGGCACTGAAAATGGCCATAAACGGCCGAGGCCCACGTAGATATTGTCAGTCACTTTGACTAAATATAAATATAAATGTCCAAGACTTTGACTTAAGACCATTAAGGTTTTCAACAACCAATCACTAATCACAATCTTTGTTTATTTTTCAGCAGCTTCGTGTGTTTAGCCTGGCTTTGATCGCCCTAAGCCAGAGCTACTTTACTGAGGCCCAGGTAAGATATCGATGATATCTCATTAATCTTGGAGTACTTAGTTAATTGATCTCTCCGCAGGGCTACGACTATCCCCAGCCGAAGGTGCCTTTCAATGATGGGTACTCGTACCCTCAGCCAGCCATTCCCTTTCCACCTCCAGCTCCGAAAAAAGTGGTGAGCAGTGGCTACTCCTACCCACAGCCAGAGATTCCGTTCCCACCACCACTGCCCAAGTACACGCCACCTGTGCAGCAAATTATTCCTCAGGAGCCCAAGCTGGTTAGTGGATACTCCTATCCCAAGCCAGCGGTGCCGTTCCCACCAACCACGCAGCCACCACAGATCAGGGTCACCTCGCCACCGGCCACCGAAGGACACGCCTACCCCACGCCCTCGATTCCTTTCCCGCAGCCGAAGCAAGGATACGATTACCCCAAGCCCGTTGTTCCGTTCCCACCACCGCCACAGAAGTACCTGCCCCCAGTGACCACAACTCCTGCTCCACCACCACCGCCACCACCGACGAAGAAGTACCTGCCACCTCCACAGGTCAAGCAGGGATACGATTATCCCAAACCAGCCGTTCCATTCCCACCACCTACGGCTCCGCCGCAGAAATACTTGCCACCTGTAACCACCACGGCAGCACCTCCGCCACCACCTACCATCAAGTACCTACCTCCACCACAAGCGAAGCAGGGTTACGATTACCCTAAACCCGCCATTCCCTTCCCACCACCAACGAACCCACCACAGAAATACCTGCCTCCCGTTGTGCCCACAAGCCCACCTGTGCCAAAATACATTCCCCCACCCACTCCCACCTACATTCCCCCACCACCAAAGAAGCAAGGATACGACTATCCCAAGCCCGCCATTCCATTTCCACCACCCACTGCGCCACCACAAAAGTACCTGCCTCCCGTAACCACAACACAAGCGCCACCACCTCCACCACCACCCAAGTATCTGCCACCACCTCAGGTGAAGCAGGGATACGACTACCCCAAGCCAGCCATTTCATTCCCACCACCAACGGCTCCACCACAGAAATACTTGCCACCTGTAACCACCACGAAAGCACCTCCACCACCACCACCACCTACCGTAAAGTACCTACCTCCACCACAAGTGAAGCAGGGTTACGATTACCCAAAGCCCGCCATTCCATTCCCACCACCAACGAACCCACCACAGAAATACTTGCCACCTGTTGTACCCACAACTCCACCACAGCCCAAGTACTTGCCACCCCCAAAGCCAACTAACCCACCACAGCCAAAATACTTGCCACCTCCCCAGCCAAAACTGGGTTACGATTACCCAAAACCCGCCATTCCATTCCCACCACCAACGAACCCACCACAGAAATACTTGCCACCTGATGTACCCACAACTCCACCGCAGCCCAAGTACTTGCCACCCGTGAAGCCCACAAACCCACCGCAGCCCAAGTATCTGCCACCCCCGCAACCCAAATCGGGATATGATTATCCCAAGCCCGCCATTCCATTCCCACCACCAACTAATCCACCACAGAAATACCTGCCACCAGTGATCCCAACTTCACCGCCAGTGCCAAAATACCTGCCTCCCACAAACCCACCCACGCCCAAGTACTTGCCACCTGTGCAAGTGAAGCAGGGTTACGACTATCCCAAGCCCACCATCCCATTCCCACCACCCACCGCTCCACCACAGAAGTATTTGCCGCCTGTAACCACCACTCAAGCACCTCCACCACCACCACCTCCCACATCCAAGTACCTACCTCCACCACAGGTGAAGCAGGGCTACGACTATCCCAAGCCCGCCATTCCCTTCCCACCACCCACGAATCCCCCGCAGAAGTACCTGCCCCCCGTTGTACCCACCAGTCCGCCCACCCCCAAGTACCTGCCACCCCCTCAGGTGAAACAGGGATACGACTACCCCAAGCCAGTCATTCCATTCCCCCCACCCGCCCCCAAGTCCGAGGGCTATTCCTATCCGAAGCCGGCGATCGCATTCGACTTCTAAAATATCATCCATCGATCGGCCACTCATCACTGGTTAAATGACACAATTGCCTCTGTGTGCGCATAGTGATCCTTAGGAACGTACGAAATTGAATAATTGTAATTAACTGTAATATTTAATTTAATACTTATCTTTAATGATGTACCGGGTATCTTGCCTGCGGACTCTCGAATCGAACTTAGTCATTAAAATATGTTTATTAAATTTATGTTTTAACGATTACGCAATGCTGCCGAATTAAAGACGATAATGTGAATGTTAAAATGGATTATTTCACTGGTCAAACGGAAAGTATATTTCATAGTTAACGAACGCATAACAAAACATCAAAAGAGTTTACCTGGTTTTCAATAATTCGCATTTAAGAGTGAAAGGTATTATATTAAAGTAAATCGTACTTTAATGGGGATAATATAATAAGGGAATGTCATAAAGCAACAGTTTGAGGGCGTACAATTCAATATTAATTAACTGATATATCAAATTATGATCGGTGGAATATAGGCGGTTAAATAATTCCTTCGCTCTTGAAACCCACCTAAATTACCGAAATAATGTAGTTAGTTTATGACAACAATTGGTTTGTAGTTTGAAAAATTCCATTTCCATGCGATCCTAAATAAAATGGACCACATTCGGTTACACTCACATACTTTTAGACTAAACAGCTTATATAAATCACGCCATCTAGAAAGTATGGTACACTTGGACCCCACTAAGTATGCCACAATTTATGTTGTAAACATGGAACTTAAACCAAAACTAATTTGTTCTTAAGCTGCTGACTTTAAATTCAATTATAAATTCATAGAGGTATCAAACTTCAAAATCGGAGACCAATAACTCAAGTTATGGAATCTGGAAGTGCAGTTTTCGGTTCCCATTCTGAAATCCATTGGAAATATGGAATAATCAAACATGAAAATGGGTTAATGTTTTGACCCTCTTTAAAAAGATAACTTTAAATGTAGAATATTTGGGACTCCAATAAATAAAGTTATGGAATGTGGAAGTGCAGTTTTGGGTCCCCGTTCGGAACGCCATTGGAATTACGAAAAAATCGAACATGAAATGGGTTGAAATTTTGACCCTCGTTAAAAATAAAACTTTTAATGTAGAATATTAAGGAATTCAACCACAAACTCATGGAGGTATCACACGTCAAGATCGGACTCCAATAAATAAAGTTATGGACTCTGGGAGCGTAGTTTTGGGTCCCCGTTCGGAACGCCATTGGAATTACGAAAAAATGGAACATGAAAATGGGTTGAAATTTTGACCCTCTTAAAAAAGAAAACTTTTATTGTAGAATATTAGGAAATTCAACCACAAGTTCATAGAGGTATCACACGTCAAGATCGGACGCCAATAACTTAAGTTATGGAATTTAGAAGTGCAGTTTTGGGTCCCCATTCGGAACGCCATTGGAGTTACGAAAAAATCCAACATGAAAATGGGTTGAAATTTTGACCCTCGTTAAAAAGGAAACTCTTAATGTAGAATATTAAGGAATTCAACTACAAACTCATAGAGGTATCACACGTCAAGATCGGACTCCAATAAACAAAGTTATGGAATGTGGAAGTGCAGTTTTGGGTCCCCGTTCGGAACGCCATTGGAATTACGAAAAAATCGAACATGAAAATGGGTTGAAATTTTGACCCTCGTTAAAAATAAAACTTTTAATGTAGAATATTAAGGAATTCAGCCACAAACTCATAGAGGTATCACACGTCAAGATCGGACTCCAATAAATAAAGTTATGGACTCTGGGAGCGTAGTTTTGGGTCCCCGTTCAGAACGCCATTGGAATTACGAAAAAATCGAACATGAAAATGGGTTGAAATTTTGACCCTCGTTAAAAAGGAAACTCTTAATGTAGAATATTAAGGAACTCAACCACAAACTCATAGAGGTATCACACGTCAAGATCGGACTCCAATAAATAAAGTTATGGAATGTGGAAGTGCAGTTTTGGGTCCCCGTTCAGAAAAAATGGAACATGAAAATGGGTTAAAATTTTGACCCCCGGTTAAAAAGGAAACTTTAAATGTAGAATATTAAGGAACTCAACCACAAACTCATAGAGGTATCACACGTCAGGATCGGACTCCAATAAATAAAGTTATGGAATGTGGAAGTGCAGTTTGGGTCCCCATTCGGATCGCCATTGGAATTGCGAAAAAATCGAACATGAAAATGGGTTGAAATAATGACCCTCGTCAAAATGACAACTTTAAACGTAGAATATCAGAGAATTCAACAACAAACTTATAGAGGTATCACACGTCAAAATCGGACTCCAATAAATAAAGTTATGGACTCTGGGAGCGTAGTTTTGGGTCCCTATTCGGGACGCCATTGGAATTACGAAAAAATCGAACATGAAAATGGGTTGAAATTTTGACCCTCGTTAAAAAGGAAACTTTTAATGTAGAATATTAAGGAACTCAACCACAAACTGATAGAGGTATCACACGTCAAGATCGGACTCCAATAAATAAAGTTATGGAATGTGGAAGTGCAGTTTTGGGTCCCCGTTCGGAACGCCATTGGAATTACGAAAAAATCGAACATGAAAATGGGTTGAAATTTTGACGCTCGTCAAAAAGAAAACGTTAAATGTAAAATATTTAGGAACTCAACCACAAATTCATAGAGGTATCACACGTCAAGTTCGGAGTCCAATAACTAAAGTTATGGACTCTGGAAGCGCAGATTTGGGGCCCGTTCGGAACGCCATTGGAATTACGAAAAAATCGAACATGAAAATGGGTTGAAATTTTGACCCTCGTCAAAAAAAAAAACTCTTAATGTAGAATATATGGAAATTAAACCACAAGTTCATAGAGGTATGACACGTCTAAAACGGGATCCAACCAGTCAAGTTATGGAATCTAGAAGACCTCCCATTCTGAAAGCCATTGGAATAACGAAAAAATCAAACATGATAATTTGACCCCCGTTTTAGAGAAAATAATAGAATAATTTAAAATAATTAATAACAATATAGGATATTTAAAGTTTTGCTCCTAATTGATGTGGGGACTTCAAGCAACAGATCATAGTGATCACGCCAGCCGAAAAGTATACTAAAATCAAATACGAAAAAGTAAGCGTTGACTTTGAACTTGGAGCTTGAGACGACAATGCACTTGTCGAACGAAAAATTAATTTCGAATCATTAAACGAGTTTCCGCATCTTGGGCTGAACTAGTTTTTTCAGTGAATTGTCTCCGCTTGACGACAGCTTCGCATTATTGCTTAATAATCGCCAGCCTTAATGGCCTAAGCTTTTTAAATTATTATGCAATATGATTGGTAAACAAATAAAAGTGGTGCTACCAGCGTCCGTGTTTCGTGTTCTGGGAATATTAATAAGGCAGTAGGAGTATTTTTCAATATTTTATTATTTATGACTTTCTTAATTTTCGTTCCCCAAGGAGAAACCCAGAGTGAAATAACAGGATTTCACTGGGTTATTGTTGGGGTATCGTTGGAGCCTCTAGTAACGGTGACGGCGGAGGACCACGCGACGCTGGGTCTTGTAGCGGTATCCATCGTTGGAGGAGTAAGAGTGGGCGGGCTCAGAGGCGGCGGTCTCGTAGCTCTCAGCGGGGGCGGAGTAGGAAGCAGCGGGGGCGGCGTAGGAAGCAGCTGGGGCGGAAGCAGCACCGGAGTAGTACTCGGGGGCGGAGTAGCTCTGGGCGGGAGCGGAGTAGCTCTGGGCGGGGGCCGAGTAGGAGACAGCTGGAGCGGAAGCAGCAGCGGTGTAGGTGGCAGCGGGAGCGGAGTAGCTCTGGGCAGGAGCGGCGTAGGACACAGCTGGAGCGGAGGCAGCAGCGGAGTAGGAGACAGCTGGAGCGGAGTAGCTCTGGGCGGGGGCGGAGTACACTGGAGCAGGGGCAGAGGCTGCTGGGGGCAGGTAGTCGTTGGAGGGCAGGTGGCTCACATCACGACGGTGGCGACGGAGCACACGGCGCTTCTGGGTCTTGTAGCGGTATCCATCGTTGGCCGAGAAGGAGTGGGCAGGAGCGGAGGCGGCAGTCTCGTAGCTCTCAGCGGGGGCGGAGTAGGAGGCAGCTGGAGCAGAAGCAGCAACGGAGTAGCTGGCAGCTGGGGCAGAGTAGCTCTGGGCAGGAGCCGAGTAGGAGACGGCAGGAGCAGAGGCAGCAGCGGTGTAGGTGGGAGCAGGAGCGGAGTAGACTGGAGCCGGGGCAGAGGCTGCTGGGGGCAGGTACTCACTGGTTGGGGCAGAGGCGGCTCCCTGGAAGGGGGGCAGGTAGTCGTTGGAGGGCAGGTGGCTCACATCACGACGGTGACGGCGGAGGACCACGCGACGATGGGTCTTGTAGCGGTATCCATCGTTGGCCGAGAAGGTGTGGGCGGGCTCGGAGGCGGCGGTCTCGTAGCTCTCACCGGAGTAAGAGGCAGCGGGAGCAGCGTAGGACACAGCTGGGGCCGAGGCAGCAGCGGAGTAGGTGGCTGCTGGGGCAGAGTAGGAGGCAGCTGGGGCAGCGTAGGACACAGCTGGGGCAGAAGCAGCAGCGGTGTAGGTGGCAGCGGGAGCGGAGTAGCTCTGGGCAGGAGCGGCGTAAGACACAGCTGGAGCGGAGGCTTCAGCGGCGTAGGAGGCAGCAGGAGCCGAGTAGCTCTGGGCAGGAGCAGCGTAGGACACAGCCGGAGCGGAGGCGGCGGCGGTGTAGGTGGCAGCTGGGGCAGAGTAGGAGGCAGCTGGGGCAGCATAGGACACCGCTGGAGCAGAAGCAGCGGCGGAGTAGCTGGACTCAACTGGGGCGGAGTAGGAGGCAACTGGAGCCGAGGCTTCTACGCTGTAGCTGGCAGCTGGAGCGGAGTAGGAGGCCACCGGGGCGGAGGCTGCTCCATGGCGGGGGGGCAGGTACTGGCTCGATGGCAGATGGCTGACATCGGCGGCCACGGCGGCAATGAAGGCGCAGAACAAGAAGAATTTCTGCAATAGGAGAAAAACGACACTCATTAGCTGATTATCCTGGTGGTGGAGCCCTATTCCTGGCTAGTACCATTTTGCTGGGTGCTCGGCTGTCCAGTTTGAGGGTACAAGTGGAAGTGATGCCTTCAACCATGTTCTGCCGCTTATTTATATGATTCTAATCACCGGCCTGCGGCAGGAAATTTGCATTTGGCTATTTAATTTATGAATTTGTATTTAGTGACACCGCCAAAAAACATATCCATTATAGTTTTGCAATCAGGTTTGCAACGGGTTTTGCGCTCTGCTCAACTCCAGCACACGATCATGATCCTATATTTGGGGAGTTCCCCCTTTACCCCGGCCAAGCGATCAAACGGCCACTTAATATTTTAAATATATTTTGCCAATACTTAGTGGCCAAGATCAGGTTCCATTGCCCCCCATCCGCACTCTCCAATTTCTCCCAGGCCAACGCGTGCCAACTCTGATCCACTCCGGCTCAATTTGCCTAATTATTGAAAATTATATTGTGGCTTAATCAACTGGTCGTAATCGGGTTCTATGACTCCGGGTAATAAAAGCAGATGTTCGATTGCGGGGCGGAGAAAAGGCCAAAAACAGTTGGCAAAAAAGCGAAATGGCTGCCGAAAAAGCAATCAAATTGCGGAAATAAATCACGATCTCAATGCCGAAACAATAGATCTGACTGTCGAAGCCGATTGTGTGTCAAAGCCTGAATGGAAACCTGTACAAAAGGAAGCGACAGATCTTATCTAAGGAAATCAAATAAATAAAGCAAAATTATAAATCCGATTTATTAAATTACTATTGGTTAATAAATACAAGAACCTTTTTAACTATTGTCAGTTTGAATACTTAAAAACTGAAGTTAACGTTCTTCAATACTTTCACTTTCACTTTAAGAGCATCTAAGTATTCATATGCTTCAATATTCATTAAAATCCTCAAGATTATTCATACAAATTAATATACCCTGACTGTTGTAGGTAAGCAGTCGAAAAGTCTGAAGCAGGCTTCAACTTTTTGAAGATGAGTTTGCGGAAGCTAGGCAAAAATAGAATCAAAATTAATTCGATTATGTGTCAAGTATGCATTGTTTGCCTAAGCCCACTTTGTTATTATTATAATTAGATCATGGAATAATTGATCTCTTTAAACACGAACACTTTTATTGTTCTCCCAGTAAAGAAAAAAAGAGGAGAAGCAAGCGTGGGTCAGCTAATACTCATAGGCCCTTCGCAGTTAAGACGTGTTCATACTAAATTCGGCCGTATTTATGAGGTTAAAAGCGTATTAATCGTATTAAACAACTATATATAAAAAGATTTTTGGGAATGTTTTAAAGCTTAGAGACAAGTTTCCATATAAAATAACGGACAGTAATGTTTAGATAAGCTGGGCAGTTGATGCTGGTCAACAAATATTTCAAAGTTTCGGAAATGTCTCCGTCACTGCGTTTTAAACTTCTAAATAAAATTAGAATATCTGCAGAAGAGTATATAAACACAGTAAGGGAATGCCGAGTAAAAAAACACATAATTTTTTTGTTTTCTTATGGCCTATATCGCAAAGGGAATGAGTTTCCATCACATTTCCTGGTAAAGTCTTCAGATTTTTAAGAAATGTTCGATAATATCTATAAAATTCTATGTGCTTGGAAACCTTAACCATTATCACGCAATCAAAACATCTTGAATTTATGGATTCGTTATCGTATTATTGTATTTGTTTGAATGAACAGGAGGTATTCTAATAGTAGGGTCTGCACTCCAAAATGAGCGCAATTCGATTACCTAGTGAAGCCGTTATCGCATCTATTTAGTGGCGGCGGATCACAACGCGCTTGTGGGTCTTGTAGCGGTAGCCATCGTCAGCCAGGACATGGGCGGGAGCCACCTCGACGGTGTTCTCCACGGGGGCCAAGTACTCGTTGGATGGAGCAACAGCCTCCTGGACGGGGGGCAGGTACTCGTTGGACAGCTCGTTCACATCACGACGGTGGCGACGGACAACCACGCGACGGTGGGTCTTGTAACGGTAGCCATCATCGGCCAAGACGGTCTCGGGAGCCTCGACGGGAGCCAGGTACTCGTTGGAAGGAGCAACGGCCTCCTGGACGGGGGGCAGGTACTCGTTGGACAGCTCGTTGACGTCACGACGGTGACGGCGGAGCACCACACGCTTGTGGGTCTTGTAACGGTAGCCATCATCAGCCAGGATGGTCTCGGAGGCAGCCTCCACGGGAGCCAAGTACTCGTTGGAAGGAGCAGCAACTGGGGGCAGGTACTCGTTGGAGGGCAGCTCGTTCACATCACGACGGTGGCGACGGTAGACCACGCGACGGTGGGTCTTGTAACGGTAGCCATCATCGGCCAGCTCATGGGCGGGCTGGGCCTCAATCTCGACGGGAGCGGGGGCAGCCAGCTGGACGGGGGCGGCGATCTGGACGGGAGCGGGAGCTGGGGCAGCAACCTGGACGGGGGCAGACACTGGGGGCAGGTACTCGTTGGAGGGAGCGGCAGCCTGGACAGGGGGCAAGTACTCGTTGGAGGGCAGGTGGCTCACATCACGACGGTGACGGCGGAGAACCACGCGCTTGTTGGTCTTGTAACGGTAGCCATCATCGGCCAAGATGGTCTCGGGGGCAGCCTCAACGGGAGCCAAGTACTCGTTGGAAGGAGCAGCAACTGGGGGCAGGTACTCGTTGGAGGGTAGCTCGTTCACATCACGACGGTGACGACGGAGCACCACACGACGGTGGGTCTTGTAACGGTAGCCATCATCAGCGAGAACGGTCTCGGGAGCAGCCTCAACCGCCACTGGGGGCAGGTACTCGTTGGAAGGAGCGGCAGCCTGGACAGGGGGCAGGTACTCGTTGGACAGCTCGTTCACATCACGACGGTGACGGCGGACAACCACACGCTTGTTGGTCTTGTAACGGTAGCCATCATCGGCCAAGACGGTCTCGGGAGCCTCGACGGGAGCCAGGTACTCGTTGGAAGGAGCAACGGCCTCCTGGACGGGGGGCAGGTACTCGTTGGACAGCTCGTTCACATCACGACGGTGACGGCGGACAACCACACGCTTGTTGGTCTTGTAACGGTAGCCATCATCGGCCAAGATGGTCTCGGGAGCAGCCTCAACGGGAGCCAAGTACTCGTTGGATGGAGCAACTGGGGGCAGGTACTCGTTGGACAGCTCGTTCACATCACGACGGTGGCGACGGAGCACCACGCGACGGTGGGTCTTGTAGCGGTAGCCATCATCGGCCAGCTCATGGGCGGGGGCAGCCTCCACCTCCTGGACGACGGGGGGCAGGTACTCGTTGCTGGGGCTGGCGATGATCTGCTGCTCCTGGACGGGGGGCAGGTACTCGTTGGAGGGCAGGTGGCTGACATCGGCAGCCACAGCTGCGATCACGGCGAAGGCGACCAGGAAGAGTTTCTGCAAAAAGCAGAGGGAAAGATTGTTAGTGGGCTTAGTCCTTCAGTGGCGAGCGGATCTTTATGACGTTTGTGTTTCAAATCGTATTCGTACCATTTTGTCCGTTGAGTTGCTTGTTCACAGCAGTAAAACCGAAACTCTAATGAGGAATACGCAGAACCTTTGGGTATTTATACAGATTCTCCGCTCTTCGCTGGCCATTACAGAGCTGGCTTTTTCGGCCCTCTGCCCACAGAAAAGACGTCGCTGCCGACGCCGGCGTCTGTAAATTCGCACGATTTTGGCTTTGCCTTCGCAAAGCTGCGGGTTCTAAGCCTCTCTTTTGCGGCTCAAACGCAGCTTGGCCAACACGATCACAAGCTCGAGAGCAGTTGATGGCAAAAAAAGTTTAATGGCCAAAATCGTTCGCACGGATTCTCTTAATTGTTTTATTTAATCATATGCAAAAGATTTGATGGACATCAACGTTTTGGACAAGTCGAGCGGGCCCACACACACAACGACATATCCGTGTTAACTTGGCTCTCTCATATTGTTTACACCACTTTGTGTCTGCTTTGCCTACCTTGTTTCATTCAAGCCGCCTCGGAATTGCGCTCGATTTAAATTCAAATGATGAGTTATATGTTTCAATCAAGTTCGTGCACTTCAATGGATCCGAGACCCCAGCTGAAAGTCTATTATTTTGACCGCAGCCTCTTCTCTTTGTGGCGATGTCGTTCGCCGTTCATTAATCAACAAATAGGAACTCACCAAGCGAATCATTCAATTTTTTGGATATGATATAATTATGCATGATGCCTACGAATTCCTCGAGTTTGTAAACATAATGCCGGATATTGGATTGAGAGCTCTTGAGAATAGCCTTTAGTGGATATGGAGAATTATTTATTTCATGCCCATGCAAGTATCTCTTAAATTTGATTTAATTTAAAGGGATACATTTTAACTTTATTCTGTATAATATATTTTGTGACCTACTTGTTTGGAATAAAAATATTCTTTAATGCAAAAGGTAGAAGTTTTTTTTGTGAAAGGAAATTTATAAAACCGTTTAGTATAAAAACGTTAGGTCAATTAAGTCTATATAGATATAGCTATCCTATAAATATATTCATGCTTACAGTTATATATCACCCGATTTCGTTGACAACCCACAACTCACTTAATCGTAACTTAAGCACTTTTCTATATCACCCAGATTTGACATTTGATTTGCAACTGATTTTTAAGACACTCCTGCTTAGAACCTCTCACAAAAGAGTATTATTTAAAAACATGCACATGCATCAGTTGTTTAAATAAATCAAGTGAAGTTGTTAGCACCTTTGTTTATGTTGATCGATTCTTCGAAAGATCGCAAAAAACTTGGACTGAGGATGGGTCAAAGTAGAGCTGCGTAAGTCAAGGCCATCTATCTATAGGGCAGACCGATGTCCGAGAGATATTGATGGGATGGCGGGATGATGGTGATGGATGGTTGTCACGCGCCACCAATCGGCACCTCTTGGCTCTCGGAAGACTCCAAAGCCGAAGTCTTTATAGCACCAGTTTGGCTAATTAACGAGGCGGTCATAAAGAAGTTGCTTAGTATGAAATAGCAACTATATAATTTTTCACATTTCCAAATGCATTAAAATTTAGAGCCTTAGAATACTAGTTTTCTGTTTTCCATTGTTTGCCTGAGATAATTCATTTCATTTCCTGTGTTGTGCGTGTGCAGCACTAAAAAAGAGTCACAAACTGCGAGTATTAACGAGCTGAATTTATGGCTTTGCCAATTTACATTTTAATCACTCGCAGAATGGCCTGTTCTAGCATCTTCTATTCCTACTTCTATATCTGTTCTATGGTCCAGTTGCCCATAAATGTTCTGCACGCATGCTGCTAGTCAATCGATCACGATAAGCCGGCCAACGCATCAGCCTCATCTGCTTGGTATGATTATCCATCAGTAGTAGTTCGGTGAGCCGGTCCGAACACTTAAAAGTTCCATTTCGGAATCGGTGTTTATGCCAAAAACTAGCAAAATATGCAAATAAGTGAATGGCAGCCGGGGTCCCATATACATTCGCCTCATAGAATGGGACAAAACCCCCGTCAAAATGGCCACAGACAACACTTAAAATTGTCAACTCGGCTTAATAAGTAAGCGTGGGCCCCGAATTAGCGTAACCCACAAATATAAACTGGGAGAGTGGATCGGCGAAAGGAGACGACTGATTGTGTTATCGGATAATGGTTAATGGATGGGCCCGCTCGATCCGAAACGCATGATATTCCAGATTCGGTCTGCCTTCGACTTTGCCTTTGCATAATCCCACAGGCCGCGTCGCTCTGTCTAACAAAAACCATTTCGATTTGACTTAATTTATGCAAATTCTATTCTAATTAATATTATGGCCATTCGATTTTTGCCATATCTGTGAGCTTAACAGGCGGCGACTTCTTTCTCGTGGCTGCTGCCTTTCCTTTGTCTTAGTCTTTGTCTTTTGGCCGGAATAGTCACACGCGCTAGTTAATTTAGTTTTTAAGATACTCTAACTGGGGAGGATTTCCTTGGCCACTACGGTGAATAGTTGAATCCCATGAAATGACATTTTTTAAATCCATTTCAAAACGTATCTTCTAGATTTTTCGGTAGCACTAACATATTCTGGGTACTCCTTAAACTGTTGCACTTCTGAATTTTTTCAGCAATTGAAGTAACTACCCTAAATTGTTCCTGTTGAATTTTTAAGCAGCTTTGACCAGTTGTCAAATTTTTCGGTAGAAAAAACATGCAGTACTTAATTTTTCCTCATAGCCTAATGTCTTAAATGATTAGTAAATATAGAAGATCTTAAAATATACTTTCTAAATTGCTATTAATGTTAACTCGTGGTACCAAAATGTTTTAGAGTTGCCAAGGATTTTTAATGAAACCCTTACTACTTTTTTTATCAGATTTTCTAACCCACATAAATATTTCGTCCCCTAAATAAAGAGTAGTAGACGGTCGCTTTACAAGGACCATAATCATCACAATCCAAGTACACGTTTTAGTCTTTTATGATAAATTTAACGTTTTTTCGGCCGGTGATGCTCTTTTTTCGTTTAACTAAAATGTACGATAAATCATTCTGGAAACCCGTTTTCGAATCGCCCCACTCTTCTGAGCCGGCGACTAGAAAGTGCCACCACCGCAATGAAGCGCATCTCCATGGCTCAGAAAACAAAACAAAACCGTAAAAAGGCAAAATATAATAATATACAAAAAACAATCGCCAAGCAACAGGGCAGCAAAAAAAAAAAGAAAAAAGATCTGCGCACACTTTTAACACTCGGCTCGGGGCCAATAAATAATGGATACGCGTGGCAGCAAAAATTTGGCAAGTTCCTTTCTTGTAATTCTGATTTCGATTCTAATTCTGATTCTCTAGGGCTGCCCGCGGCTCATCGAGTGGTTTTCTGTTTGATGGCTGATCGATACATGCGACTTGAAGTGCGATTGGGCTTGGAAATATATTTTCGGTTGCGGGCTGTCTAAAATTAATTATGTGGTTGCCAAGTGCTGAAAATTAATCATCCCAGCATGTGGAGCTCTTCGATTTCTTCGGCTATGTTTAACGGATGACGCAAGGTGGAGTTACACGCGATCGGATTAGTTCCGATCACAAAACTCTTTAGGCACAGAGTTCTACCTTAAAGTTGGCCATCTGGAGAGGCATTAAATAATGGATACACGCGAAGAAATTAATATACATATTCTCGTTCTTGATTTCATGTCTTTTGGTAATAAATAAAACTTGTTTTATTATCGCGAATTGAATATTCATGTCAAATAAATAAAGTCTTTGGTTTTTATTTGAACTGTATATATATTATATATTATATATTTTTTAATAATACTAGGTTAGATTCACCCTTTGAATATTAATTTAGAAAGAAAATCCAAATTCGATTTAGCCGGAATGCGGGTATTAAATAAAATCAATTTGTTAGAATAAAACCAAATTTTATTTTTTAGTAAAGTAAATAATACCAAAAATTAAATAAATATTTTAAAGATGATATTTTTTAAAAGAAAACATTAAACAATAAGCGAGTAGTCTCATTTCTAAACTAAAAATTCGATAAAATTATGCTTCCATTACCATTCCAAACCAACAAAAAGTTTTTAAAAATAGGCTTAGAAGTTCAAGTGGTAACTAAGATCTTTTATTACAAATCAAAACGTTTTCTGTGGTTTTCTGCAGTGCCGTTAGAAAATAATGGCCCGCAATGTTTGATGGTAATAATTGCCGAAGAAGCGGGTGGCTTGCGGATCATTGAACTCAGCGATGAACCCACTCACTCGCTTTGCATAGTTGTAGCCACAAGCCGGCTAAGTTCGCACAGACCTCATCCAAAATTTATTTCTGTAATCAGCGGGCTTTGAATGCCCTAGCGGTCTCCGTTAATTTTATGCCGAGCTGAGCTGCTCCGTAAAGTTTGATCCGAAAGCTTGCCATAAATTATTTTAATTTAATGCTACTTGTAGCTATTTTTATTTAGACCTGTTGCGGCCATTTGGCTTACTTAAGCGGGCTAATTTCACCGGGAGAAGTGCGCTGATTTATGGGACGCAGCTAATAGCTTTCTATGGGCCATGTATTAGGTCAAGAGCCGAGCAGATCGGCTAATCCGCTCTGACCTACAGTTGGCCAAAAATAGAGGCACATGCGTACAATGGACAGCCCACGGTTGATATAGGAGTCCACTCGCTAATATTGACATTGATTGGCGAAGTCGAACATTACTAAGGCCCGCCTAAGTCTGCCAAAAATAAAAAAGATGGTAATAATCATAACAAAAACACACGGATGGCAGTCGAACATGCACGAAGACTTTTATCCATAGGTCACAAATGCGTCCGGCCAAAACGGATTCAATAATTATGTTTTTATGCCAGCTCACCTTTATGCAGGCGACTGGCCAAGATTTGCTACCCGGTGAAACAATAGATTTTGTTTTATTTCTATTTTGATTTCAGTTGATTGGATTTGCATGAGAATCGAATCTAAATGGCATAAATTTATGTCGACAATTCATTTTGCTAGCCTCTCTCGCTCTAAATCTTTATGTGCTTCTATTTCTATGGGGCTCTGAACTAGTTTTCTTTCCGCATATTCTAATGGATAGTATATATAACTTTTCCATCAAAGGCAGGCAGTTATTGCCTGGACATAAACGCCTTAATTTATTTGCACGTGTGTGATTATGTAAATTTATTTCACAGAAGTTCATTTGATCCAAACAAACCCATAAATAACAGTCTACAAATACCCTGTCAAGTTGTATTAAATTTAATTTTATGTAGTATAATTTAAAGTTTGAATAAAAGCTCTTCTCATAAAGCTCAGCTCCAAAAGCCGTGTCAAATACTCGACAAACTTCAAAGCAGCTTAAAACGGAAACGGAAGTGAACGCCATATGCAGTGCCCAAAAGTATGCTATAAAAATTAAACAACCTTTCTTTCGACTGCTCTTGTAGCAACTGCTGCTAAGTATGATTTAATTTTGGATACTATATGTTGTGTTTATAATAAAATTTAAAACTCGAAGGAATGCTTGGGCTTCTTGTAGTGATAGCCATCTTCACGATAATCAGTATCGTACTGGGAGGCAGAGGTTCCAAGATCCACATCCTTACGTTTGGAACTGCTCCTATGGGAACGGTGTTTCTTAGGAGCAACCACATAGGAGGACTGTCGATTACTGGCCGCAATTCCCAGGAAACCTCCAGCCTGCCCATCATCATCCACGTCATCATCATCATCGGGTATTAGAACTGAACGCTGGTTCTGATTAACCGAAACCAAAGCCCGCTGATGGCCATGATGGGGATCGCTGTAGAAGTTGCCATCGATGATGTTGGTATCCTGTTGGTTTCCCAGCGCATTCGTGGGTCCCTGGAGATGGGGCTGACCAAATACGTTGCCATTTAGCACATTCAGGCCCTGGTAGTTGGATCGATTTGGAGGACGTCGGTTGTTGAGTCGAGGCACTTGTCCCGCAGCCAATTGAGCTCCAATTGAAGGGTCAAACTGCCCCTGATTCGGATCAAAAGCTCCCTGACCAGCGGCCAGTTGAGCTCCTGCTGGAGGATTGGGTCGCTGGTTGGGAACTCCCTGGGCAGCTCCAAGTTGGGCTCCCAAAGCGGGATCAAATGGTGCCTGTGCATTGGGTCTCTGGTTAGGAACACCTTGGCCTATTCCAAGTTGAGCTCCGAAAGAAGGATCAAAAGGTCTCTGATTCGAAACACCCTGACCAGCTCCTAATTGAGCTCCCAAAGAGGGATCAAAGGGTCCACCAAGCTGCAAATTGGGATCATATTGGTTTTGCAGGGGTCTTTGGGCTTGTCCAGCTCCGAAAGATGGGTTAAAAGGCGCACCTGCAGCTGCTTGGGCTCCGAAAGAGGGGTCAAATCCTTGTCCAGCTCCCAGCTGAGCTCCTCCAGCAAGTTGACCTCCTCCTGCCAGTTGACCTGCTCCTCCGGCAGCCTGTTGATTTCCAGCGGCCAAGCGAGCGCCAAGCGAGGGATCCACAAAGAAGTTGAGTCTCTTGTCTCCACCATATCCTCCTCCATAGCCACCTGGTCGGGATGGAGGTCGCTGGCCATTGCCCAGAACAGCCAGTTGCCCACCAGGAACAGGTTGATTCGCAGGAAGATTGCCTCCAGTGGGGGCCAGAGCACTAGCTGGCAGCTGAGCGCCCAGGGGATCAGAGGGTCCACAGCCAGGTGGGACATTTCCAGGTCCAATGAACTGGCAGTTGGGTCGGAAGCCTGGGGCCTGAGCTCCAGTTGGAGCCTGAGCTCCAGTTGGCGCCTGAGCTCCAGTTGGTGCCTGAGCTCCAGTTGGCGCCTGAGCTCCTGAAGGATCCTGTGCTCCTGCTGCTCCATCCGGTCGAGTGAGAGAGTTTAACTCCGAGTCCTGGGACTGTACATTAATCTGGGTATGGGTGTGGAACACCGAGTTAGGAGCACTGGCATAAAGGATACGACTTGGACGACGCCTGCGATAAACCACTTGGGTGGCAGCGGGGGTGAACAGATCCCGAGGGTAATCCGTGCGAACTTGGGGCTTGCTGTGCTTGTAGTGGATGTGCTGGGTCTTCACCTCGGGCTTCTTGTCATAGTGATGGTAGTGATCCACTCGCTGCTTCTTCGGCTCCTCGTAATGGTGCTCCTTGTACTGCTTCGGCTCCTCTGGCTCATCCTCCTTGTGGTAAACCACCTCGCTGGTGTGCCTTTCCTTCTTGTAGTAGGGTTGCTCCACCTCCTTTTCCTCTTGGGGAGGCAGATAATGGGACTCCTCGTCGTCATCCTCGTGTTCCCTGGAGTGATGATGCCGCTGATGCTTGCGGTGTTTCACATGGGAAACATCGGCCAGACAGACGATTGCCATGAGGCTAAGAACCAGGACCAATAGGATTTTCTAAAATGGAAATGGGTTAAGAGTTAGTTTGATATGGAACCCCTACTTATCGTTGATCTCTCACCATTGCTCAAGTGCCAGTGATTCCAATCAACTGTGGATGCAACTTTTATACTCTTCGGGTTCTTTTGGGTTGCATCCCCACATCAAGCCCCCAAAATGGTTCCGAAATCGAAAGCGAAACCTGTTGTTGAGCGTGAGAAATCGATACGCTTTATGTGACCCATTTGTTCTTATTGAATAGCCACCAATTTTAATTCTAAATATATTCCAAAGCACAATGGATGCGTCCCGTAAATTTGTCAGATAAAAGCGCTTCAATTTATTAGCCTAAGTACGCTACGCTGTCGATAATATAGTGGTTCCTTGATCTCACTTTTTCGGTTAAGTATTTTGCCTAGCTTGGCAACAAGTAAAGTACTAGATAGTTATCGAAAGAATCATTCGGTTAGAAGGAAAGGTTAACGCAATTGATTGATACTTTAAGGCGCAGAATAGATCTGGGTCAGACATTATGAAAAATAGTGCTTACAAAAAATACAATATAAAAGCGATGAAAAAAAATATATGAAGTTAATTTTCTAAACTAAATTTTAACCCAAATTTTTTAATCCCAAGATATTTTCTATATGACTGTGATTAAAATCGGTGTAGATTCTTACGATAATAACTAAAACAATTTCCGCATAATCTATTAACGGCCTTCCATCTTGACGTATTCATTAAAGATGAAGTCAGATCATTCAAATATTGCATTCCACTGCTAATAATACAATTAATATTCATTAATAATGATTTAAGGTTGTTGCTCTTTTGTTTATTTTGATATAAATTCTTATTGTGGCAAAGAATATTTGTTCTTCTTTGAAAGAGTCTCTTTTCCTCATTCGTTTTTTTCGGTGTTTCTTTTGCAGATACTACACCCCATACCATTCTTGCATAATTAGCCAATTATCATATTATCTTTTTTAGTTTTTAAATGCTCAAACAAAACTACATGTTTTCATAATTTTTATATTCGCTTTTATTGTCGTATTTTATTATCGTATCATCATAAACATTAGTAGAGCCATTTAAGCGCGGTGCTTGAACACACGACGACGGACGGTCTTGTACTTGTATCCCTGCTGGCTGGCGGCGGGTTGGCTATACTCGTAGCCGGAACGGGCTGCCGAGTGGGAGGAGGCGGCGGCCTCGAACACAGGGCCGGAGGACTCGAAGGCAGGAGCGGGGGCAAAGGACTGCACAGGAGCGGGTGCGGGTGCTGGGGCGGAGAAACTCTGCACAGGAGCGGAGGCGGCAGCATGGTGATGCACCTGAGGAGCAGGAGCATGGTGAACTTGGGGAGCTGGAGCATGGTGAACCTGGGGAGCAGGTGGCACATAGGTCCTCACTGGAGCGGGGGCAGACTCAGCGGCGTGGAAGACTGGAGCGGGAGCTGGAGCAGGTGCAGGGGCAAAGGACTGAACGGGAGCTGGAGCAGAGGCGGAGGCATGGTGCTGGACGGGAGCAGGAGGCACATAGGTGCGCACGGGGGCAGGAGCAGAGGCGGCTTGCTGGAAAACAGGAGCAGGTGCTGGGGCAGCAACTGGAGCGGGGGCGAAGCTCTGCACAGGGGCGGAGGCAGCGGGTGCAGGGGGCACATAGGTCCTAACTGGAGCTGGAGCAGATGCAGCCTGCTGGAAAACAGGAGCTGGGGCAGAGGCGGCGAACTGACGGGGGGCCGAGTACGATCTCACGGGTGCGGGGGCGGCAGCTGGAGCATTATAGTTATAGCCCGAATCGGCGACGGCACATCCAACCACAGCCAAAGTCAAGATGAAGAATTTCTGCCAGACAAAATAGGAAAATATATAAATATACCATCAAATACAATCCTGAGCTGGCATATCCTTACCATTTTCGCAGATCTGTTTGCTTTAGGGGCAACGAATCGAATAATGTCTTCAGTCAGCAGCTCCTGTACTTTTATACAATCCGGCGAATCTGCGCGTCCAAACGGAAGTGCTGAGTATCATAAATCAACGAAACATTTTTCGCGTCGAAAAATTTGTTTAATTAGGCAAACAGATACCTCTCGACCACGGCACCAGATGGGGCTTGTTTTTATCAGCTAGGTACGCCTCGGAGTTTGGATTAAAAACTCTCATTTTTTTGCTGTCATGCGGAATATAAATATTCATTAGAATACCCATACCCATATCATAGCTTTATTTCTTCTGACAAAACAATTTTATCACAAACCTGATAGTTTAGTTCGTCTTCGTCTTGAAGTAGAAGCTTTTTTAATTCACCCAAGCTTTTGCGATAATTAATCTTGTATTGGCTTAATGAAAACAGTAGCAGGGAGCTATTTTTAAGTCGATCCAGAAACAGAGGTATCACAATTAACCGGTCATAAACTATCTGAGTCAGCCGTAACCATTATCTTATCCACTTAAGCTGCTGAACCAAAAAAGCTGTTGAAGCTAATGACTTAGTGTTCCGCTAACTGGATTGATTGGCTGATTGATTAATTACCCAGTGAAGCCTCAAGATCGCGGCTATGTTCAAACACATTGGAGGTCTTCAATGTTTCCTCTGGAGGTTAATGGCTTCTGGAGCCCTTCTTTGCATAATAACGTTATCTGATCTGTGGTTGACGCCCTCCAATGATCCTAAGACTAAAAACAAGGTCTTTGTTTATGTTTCTGAGCTTTTTTTATTGTCTTTTTGCGCTAATTCGGGAATATGCAAATCGGATCCAGTCAGACATGCAAATATAAACCTATTAAGTGTATTTTTGCATTTCTTTGCTGAGCTGTGGAATTAGCATTAGAATATAGTTGGCGTCGTGGGTTAAACCACAAACCAGTTAAGTTGGTGGTTGTTGCTCAGTGGTGTTGTTTCGACAGGTGATGATGATGCATCTTACTGGGGTGGCAGATAGGTGTTGCGGGGAGCGATCACCTGGGGAGGCAGATAGGTGTTGCGGGGAGCAATCACCTGGGGTGGCAGGTAGGTGTTGCGTGGGGCAGCCACCGCGATCACCTGTGGAACAGGACGAGCAATGGACACCAACTGGGGAGCAGGACGGGAAATCACTTGGGCAGGTGGCAGGTAGGTGTTGCGAGGAGCAGCCACGGGGATCACTTGTGCAGCAGGGCGGTAGGAGGGTATAACTTGGGGGATCACCAACCTGGGGGCGGGTGGCAGATAGGTGTTCTGTGGTTGAATCACCTGGCGCTGGATGATCTGCGGTTGAACCTGAACCCTCGGAATGGAGATCACCTGGGGTCGCACCACCTGCACTTGTGGTGGCAAATAGGTCCTGGACAGCGAAGTGGCATCAACCACTCCCAGCAGAGCCACTGCAAAAGCCACGAGGATTACACGCTGTCGAGAGAAAAACTTTCCATTAGTCCTCAATTCGAAATTATTAAAAAGCAAATCCGATCGAAACCCACCATGTTGATCATTCCAAGTCGTACAATTAAACTGTTTTTTTGCGAGCAGAACATTTGGTATTTATAAGACATTTCGGGTAGATCCCAAACAAAATATATAGTATATAATATTATTATTTTTGGATAAGGTTGGCATATGTATGGGTATTGTCTTGTTGGATTGCAGTCATCGGGCGAAATGCGGTTGCGACTGCGACCAATAAATAAATAAATCAGTAGTCCAGGCGCTGACTAAATGTCTGCAATAAAACAATTACGCGAGTCAATATGAGTTAGAATTTTTCAAACTGAAAGTAGCTCTTCAAGTCCATAAAATCGATTTAAGTAGATGCTTTCACTTTTTTTGGGGACTATGAGCTAACAAAAAAGTAGCCGTAAATTCAGTATTTTTTACCAGGTTGAATTCGAAATACTCTATCAATTTATGCATTATTCGAAAAATGTATTTTTAAAAGGATATATTAGTTTAAAATGTATAAAAAGAAATTATTTTACAAAACTTCTAAAATATACAAATTGAAACTAGACTTAAAGTTACTTGTCCCAAATCCCAAATGTGAATAATTGAATTCAATTATTTTTGGTGTTTTAACAAATAAAATAAATGTCTTTTAATTTTATAGATTTTAATAGATTTTAATAATTGAATTACTCTTTTCTTTTAGTGCACTTTGGGTTAAGATTTATTACCTTAACTTCAATTATATGACACCATACAAGCCCGTTTGACCAAACAACGATAAAACGGGTTGGCGTTGGGCTATCTTAGGATTTGGATCACCTTTGAGATGTAACATGTTTATGGGCATTGTTCTGGAGAAGTTGTAGAAAGAAATGCCACAAATAAATCACTCCTATGGTTAACCCACGAAAACCAAGAGTTTCAGACATTTTAAATGCGTCACATAAGCTTGTTTACATTCACTACATTTATTTTTAGTGGAAATCTTAGTAAATAATGTTGCGTTATTTAAATATCATAAACTGTTACTTTTTTGCAATCGCCGTTACTAAAAACCGTGATCTGCTGCGTATTGGCCTTAACAGACTTAGCGATGACACGAACCACCTATGTTAACCACAACGGCTGGTTCAAAGATGATGTTAAATTATACTTCGAATTTATGTGCTCTTAATGCAGATTTATACAGCCAGAAAGAAATTTTGTTGTATTTTTAATGAACTTTAGCTTTTTGTTTCTGTTGTCGGTTGTTGCTTTTGCGGTTTCGTTCTGTTCATGCTGAATAAAAAAAAAGTTGCCAAACATCCAGTATATATTGGCCTGTAGTTAGTTGGCTGTGTTAACTTGGCTTCCGTTGCTTGGCGGCTAATTGATTCCCCACATTATCTCGCCCCCTTTGAAGATTAATGCCTGGCATTAGGTGGTGGCTTAGGCTAGGATTGATAAACAGTTTTCAAAATTATTTGCATGCACCGGTTGGAATTTGGATTCGGATTCGGTTCCAGTATCGGATTCGGTTTTGTCTGGGAGAACTCGCATATAGGTATGAATAGAACAAACTTGTTCTTAATTATGCCTAATGTGAAATTTATAAACACTAAATTCTAAAGCATTCACCAAACTAATTGAACCGGTTTCAGGATCGGTTCTGCAATTTCCGATCCCCGTCATACGAATAAAAATCCAAATTCGAATCCGACGCACGCGTGTTTAGCAGTGCACATATTTGGCTATTTCAACAAAACGCTAAGCAAATACATTGTGTGATCAAGATGATGATATATATATATGGTTCTATATACTTATATGACTGCAGATCTTAAACTCGTTTACCGTTGTGTGGCATTTACCCAGCATTCATCTAATTAAACCGCAAGCTAAAAACGTTGTTTTGATTTCGAATGAAGTAATCAGAGCTAATTTTTAATAAAAGCGGGTAACTGATGGCCTGAGAAATCATTTAAATGCCGGAAACTTTGATCCGATCAGGTCAGGACACACACAATAAATTCCGACAAATTGGTTGAGTCGCTAATAGCCATTCAAAATGAGCCATCTCGAATTACCCATGACTATGGCACAACAGTTAACAATCAGTTGATTGACGACATAGTCCAAGTCATGACGTAGCCAATTCGCCTTAGTGTGGCTTCCAAACCAGATTTCATCGATACTAAGAGATCTGCCCTATAGATTGCGTAACACATCTTCTAAATGAAAATGAAGCGAAAAACCCCCGAAATTCTAAAAAAAGAACAGATTAGAATTAATAATTGCGCCGGTCAACGATCGACCTAGCCATGTTTGGTGGGAATTCTTGGAATCCAGCTTTGTTTAACATCATAACCAAAGAGGATAATCATATGTTTGAATCGAGAAGCAATTATCACAACATTCTGAAGAGAAAGATTTGTGTGCGAGTATCGTAGCAAAAATTAATTGATTAAATTAAAATTTAAATCGATTGTATAACAATCGGGTTTGAAACGCAAGAATTCAAATGACCATTAAAACTCAGTTTAAGAGTGCAACTTTGTATTTGCGTAAACCGATTTATCAATTGGCCCCAAAGAACAGGAATCTGGAACAGTGGGTTAAGAGTGTAAGGAAAAGTTGGGATTGTGGTTGTCCTTGCGGCGAGCCAAGGCAAAGGTCAGTTTGCGGAGGTAACTGCATCGGGAACCGGTTCCATCTGATGACTGACCCTTCTCACCGGTTGATTCATGCATCTGGATGACGTTTTGGGTGAAGGTCGCCCTTCGAGAGTGTGAATAATTGCAAACCATCAGATAATTTGGAGCCACAAGCCACAGGCGGAACTTTCAGGGAATTTATGCAAATCCGCGAATGCTCTCATAAATAAAACATTCCAATTCGATTTTATTATAGAACCAAATAGATGCGAAATTAATTTATGCTCTTCGTCGCGCTAACCAGCCTGAAATGTGGCTCTAAACTAGATTTATGTGGGGGATCAATTAAAGAGTGCTATTGTCTATGTCGTGGAGTGCGAAGTGGCTCCATCAAGTCGACAAATTGGCTGTCATAAGGCGGAGCACCCCTGCTGGTTATCGATCAAAACCTAAGCTGTACAAATATTTGCAGATTATCGAGCGTGGAGTTCTGTGCCCATGCGGGACCTCCATTCCCAAAAATCCCCCATCTTCTCTGCGCCTTTCCTATTATCGCACATATTTCACCGGTTTTTCTTGAATTCAAATTAAACTCTTTTCAAACAGCTCACGAACCGCTGCCTCGGCTTTTTTAAGTTATCATATATTTTAAAGTGGTCTTTTTGCTTTCTTTAGATTATGATTTTTATTATATTCGAGCTCATTTACGTGGGCTCTATTCGGTTCTGGTTGTATTTCTTTTTGTTCTGGCCTGGCCAAAATCTGAATTTTTCGCCAAATTTTGAAATTTCGCCCGGAATATGAGGGAGATCGAGATAGACCGTGTGTTTATGGGTGTCGTTCTGAGGGAGCTGCGTGGCCGGCGCGGCAGAGACGTCGACAGCAGCCGGTTAACCAACCCAAGCAGGTTCTGTTTAGTTTTTGGGGCTCCGACGAGAAGCTTCTGCCGTGAAGTCTCTTTGGGCCATCCTGAGGCGCTGAACTATAAATAATGTAGACTCGGGCAGGAAAGGCACAGTCACAACTCAACCTTCGTGGTGTTGAATTGGTTCTGAACAAAATGGTAAGATCGCAAGCAAAAAATCGAGGATGGAGGATCGTGGATCGATGCGCTGCACTCGGTGGTGGATACGAATACCGAGTGGGCAGATTGTGGAATAACATACATACCAAATATATCTTGGAATATCTAGAGGCTGATCTCACCGCTCTGTGTTCTCTTCCCAGAAACTCCTGATCGCCTTCGCCCTGGTGGCAGTCGCCAGTGCAGATGTCTCGCATCTGTTCTCGCAAAGCAACAACCTGCAGGAGGATGGCTACCACTATGGCCCACCCCGCGCCCCCGTCGTCATCGATGTGCCCTATGTGCCACATGAGTCTGCCCCACCGACGGTGGTCTACGAGGCCCCCAAGCCCAGGCCCACGCCCCCTCGTCCCGTCTACACGCCCACGCCCGCTGGCGTCCTCAAGGACGATGGCTACCACTACGGTGCTCCCTCCGTGAAGTTCGAGGTCAAGGCTCCTCCTCCACCACCACCAAAGGTTGAGTACCTGCCACCCCCACCCACCAAGAAGGTGTACGTCGCTCCCCCCGTGTACGTGCCACCCCCAACCAAGAAGGTCGTCTACACCCCACCCCCACCACCACCACCACCGGTGTACGTCCCTCCCCCAACCAAGAAGGTCGTTGTGTACACCCCACCCCCACCACCACCACCGAAGAAGGTCGTCTACACCCCACCCCCGACTGGCTCCCTGAAGGAGGATGGCTACCACTATGGTGCTCCCTCCGTCAAATTCGAGGTGTCTGCTCCCCCACCAAAGGTTGAGTACCTGCCTCCCCCACCCACCAAGAAGGTGTACGTTGCACCACCAGTCTACGTACCTCCCCCAACCAAGAAGGTCGTGTACACCCCACCCCCACCACCACCACCACCAGTTTACGTGCCTCCCCCAACCAAGAAGGTCGTCGTCTACGCCCCACCCCCACCACCACCACCGAAGAAGGTCGTGTACACCCCACCCCCGACTGGCATCCTGAAGGACGACGGTTACCACTACGGTGCTCCCTCCGTGAAGTTCGAGGTTAAGGCTCCTCCTCCACCACCACCACCACCAAAGGTGGAGTACCTGCCACCCCCACCCACCAAGAAGGTGTACGTCGCTCCCCCAGTGTACGTGCCACCCCCAACCAAGAAGGTCGTCGTGTACACCCCTCCCCCACCACCACCACCAGTCTACGTCCCTCCCCCAACCAAGAAGGTCGTGGTCTACACCCCACCCCCACCACCACCACCGACCAAGAAGGTGTACGTCGCTCCCAAGGTCGAGTACCTGCCCCCCGTCCAGAAGGGATACAGCTACCCCAACGACCCCCAGCCCTCATTCAACTATTAGGCTTCCGAGGCCCATTGTAAATA